CCGTAGTGATGCATACCGGTTCACTGGACTTGGATTCGGACTTGTAAGAATGTTTAGGTTCAAGTCCAAAAAAACCTAAAAGTCAAGAACCGAGTCCAGACTTATTACCATAAAAGACCATTTCACATACCCCTTTTCTTTCCAAACCACCTCAAACCTTCCGTAGATTGCAAAATCTTTGCTGCAAAATGAAGAAAACATTGCCATCGGGCATCGTCAAGTACCGGCCTCCATGTTATGTGGCCAAAGTTTCACCCAGACAACATTGCAAGGTTGCCAACATGCAATTTTGTATATGCCATGGGTTTAGGTCCGGACTTACAAGTCCGGAACTGAACCTAAACCTCTGGACTTGAATCCGGACCTGAACCTAAAATTGGGTTTAGGTATGCATCACTGTATATGGGCCACCCCATACCTGAGTAAAATATACATCATGCTAAGACGGCCACCACTTTTTCTTTTTCCTTTATTTTTGGCACCTTGTACAGAATTTTTCACTTTGTTATGAGCACTTCCACCACCGGCCGTACTTAGCCGTGCACCAAGATCTCCCCTGGACGTTATACCCGAGAGGGTTTTGTGCCAGTAGTAATAAGATTAAGAAGATTGTGCAAAGTTAACACTAAATATACCACTAAAGCAAAAAAAAACGCGTCCCTTGTTAAAAAGTTACCCTTTGGTCATCCTAGATAATTGAGGTATATGGTTGAATAACTGGGTCCTAATTATGCCCTATTTTATAAACAATGTGGTCTCCAGGCAAAATTTGCATACACATTGAGGCCCAGAACAGTGTGGCATACTTTTGTGCCCATAGGATAGACAGTAGTTGACACCCAAACAGCACATAAACACTTAAAAAAACACTTATGGGCTATTACTTTACATTTAAAATGTGCTAATAAATGCTTAAATCCCTCCCACACACTATTGACCCACTATCTCACCAATTATTTTATTTTGTAAAAAAAAGTAAGACCTTAATTTCCAACGTTACAGATGAAATAACATTAACACACACACATATGTCTACGTCGATGAAGTTATACGACGTTTTGAAAGAGAAGTAGAACGTTACATTGTTTTCGTTACTAAATCCTTAGCAAAACTTTGCCAATTGTATTAAATACTGACTGGACTTAACTGGGTGTGTATCGTCATTAACATATGTTTACTTTTCATGCAGTGCTATCTTGTGCCTGACTGCATGGAATTGGATAGGCGATACGAACAGTACTAGCGATGATAAGTACATTTGTAGGTAAGTGTGTTCCAGTTTTTGTTGTTTTTTTCCAGTAAAGTGCTTTTTTCCAAAGGCACACGCTCGGTGGCATGACAGGATTCGAACTCGCGACCTCTTGGTTCCCAACCGAACGCGCTGTCGTTATGCCCCCGGCGCGACCCCACCATTGTCCCAGTTTCTAGGCCGTCCCAATTGTTACCCCAATTGCAATCATCAACGCAATTAAAAAACCAACAAACAGGCATCGATCCATCCTATAGGCTAGTATCTTCCACTCCTTTTCCAAACCTCGCTTGTAACTCTTCACCTCTTCGTCCTCCCTGAACTGGCTGATGACTTTGTTGATTCTACCCAAAGCGGAGCGTTGGTTGTCGCTACCCTGGGTAGTAGACTCTGCTCCCCCCGAGGACTCAGGTTGTTTCACGTACTTGATGACGGTCGTCCTCACTCTTGGGGGGCCGAGGAAGAAGATTTTGCGGAGCCAGGTCGGTACGGGGCGGATGTGGGGGCCGCGGAAGTGCACAGACAAGATGAAGATGGTCAAACCCGATGAGAAGGTCACCAGGAGGATGATAGCTCCGAAGAAAGTCCCTAAAGACGACAGTTAATAGATCAAAGGATGCGTGCCATGTAAAATCTTCTAGGTCAGCTAGGGCTCGAAATGCTAGCCTCCACCAGACCTTTCTACGGGAATACGGATCGTAGAATTCGGCAAAAAAGAGAGTAAAATTGGCCAAGGGAGTCCGGCCGCGGTGGGGTTGTTTCTTTCCCTTCGAACTGCGCGGTCTGTCAAACCTACAAGGCGGCCAAACTCCCCTGTGGCAACTATTCTCCTATATATAGCCAGCGTAGTTAGTCTGGTAGAGACTATCGAAATGCTACCTAGGAACGTTTTCAAAACGTTTGAATGGAATGTAAGGCAAGGAAAATAAGAAATAGGACATTTCAGACTTCAGGAATCAAGTATACAATCCTCGGCCTCCTGAATTCCCCCCACGTCTACCACTAATAGACGCCTTTCCAGTTTCCCGCGGCCATTTTGAAAATGTGCTCCCGCGAGAGTACAGTCTAACGTGATTTCGCGTAATCTACACGAAAGCGAGGTTAAACGTTGGGGCTCCCGACCTGATTCTGAAATCTTCTCATTCACCCTATTTCTTGTGTCTCACCTGTTGACCTGTCATTCTGCCTGTCAACCAGCCCCACCCGCGTGCTATCTGCTTATCTTTCAGGATAAACATACACACAAACCAACTGCTTAGCCACACAAAACAATACTTCCGAACGGCATGTTTACCTACCTATAGCCGGAATGCTTGTTGAAAGTGGCGGCAACCTTTCCGTCACCAGTTGCATGAACACCATCAACGCCAACAGCAGAGTGATGCTGAGAGACAGTTTTTCCCCGGAATCCGGTGGCAGCAGAAACCCCAAGAGAGCCAAGAGGCTCAGCAACACTCCGGGCGCGATGACGTAGTAGGTGTAGTAGAGACTCCTCCTACGAATGACAATCATGTAGGTGACGTCCGGGTACGTCCCACTACTGTAAACCACTTCGTTTCTTTCTAACCCGAACGATATCAGCGTCCACTCCCCATTCCTGACGAAGTTGTCAGTGTCCCCCTTGGTTGTGTAATTGACCAGGTTCAGTTGACGACCGTTGTACGTCCAAGAGCCGAACTTCATAGGACATCTCTGTACGTCGTAAGGGAAGTGTGAGATGTCCATGACGCAAGAACTCAGGATGGTGGCCGGGTGCCCCCATGTGACGTCACCTGTGCTGCTGACGCGAGCATTGGTGTCCGGAGTTTCTGACCAACCCTCTTCGTGAATCCTGTAGAGTTTGGACACCGCACATGTATTATTGTTGTGCAGTACTGTAATAACGTATTATATACGTATAAAAACCATATTCTTGATAGAAAATAATTCAGAACACTTGAGACGTAACATTTGCAAAGCAATTGCATGATGATCTGTTCTGTTAATTCTTACTCAAACACATTCATATATATGGTGACAGGAGTCTAAATCCCTCCTGCTATAAGATTGCAACATGATGTAACCCAACACCAGTTACCATGGTAACAGACGTCTGGTTCAGGTTATTGACCTTATTGGTTTGAAGAAGAAGAGGAAACAGCAAAGACAGTACGTTTCCTCCGGTAAACATAATAATAAACTTCTGAATAACATAATAACTGCTGCTGAAAATTAATAGCCCCTTCCCTATCTGGTCCGGGCTGCTATGGTTTTATATGCTAAGTATTAGGACCCCCCCTGAGGTGTAGCCAAAAATGGGTTGCCTGGGCAATCCTCTGACGTTGATTGAAGAAAATATTTTTGTTACTTTCTATGCGGGATAAAAAAAATAACAGCAATTACTAATACTCATATTTTACCTGTTGTAGAGGACAACATCAGGACGCCATATGAGGTCGCTCTTGAAGATGGCAGTTTTGATATTTCCATATTCCGAGGAATTCCAAGTCAGGAATTCATCCCTCCATCGCTGGAGTAAAAAAGGGCCAAAACATTACATACTTCATAACAACAAAAGCATCTTGAAATAGAAAAGTAACATTTGCAAAGCAAATGCATAATGTTTACCTTCGCATATGGTCTGCTCTGTTAATTCTTACTCAAACACATACATATATATATATATATATATATATATATGGTGACAAGAGTCTAAATCCCTCCTACTATAAAATTGCAACATTATGTAACCTAACACCAGTTACCATGATAGTGAGAGACAGTCTGGTTCAGTCAGGTCAGAGGTCACTGTTTGGAGAAGAAGAATAAGAAACGTAGCAAAAGCAATGTTTCCTTCGATAAACATTAATAGAGTTGTGATCCATTAAAAAAGTTATTGAATGTAAGTTCTATTCCCCCTCCAATAAAAAAAAGAAACGAGTAACTCACTTTTCGAAGCCACAAATTAGTGGTCAAAACCTGCTCTTTGACATCCTGCCAAAAGAAGAAAATGAGGACATAGCGATTAGATTAAATCTACATTCATTGTTTTGCTTTTACCATCAAGCTACAATGCGTTATGTGTTTGCAATCACGTGACTATGACGTATTTGTCATCCGCCATGTTGGATGGTTACACTAGGAGGTTACCAGCTAAATTTGAGATTGTATACGTCATCACATTTACATAATCATGGCATCATATCAAAGCATATCTTTAGACTTGACTCTCTGAAGTTTATAACATTTAGTCACCTAAATCTGTTTTGATATTGAAATCACTCTGAAATCTGTTTTGATATTGATATTAAGTAACTCACCACTTTAATGATCTGTGCCAAAGTAATGTCCAAAGAGACTGTGATAGGTTTTGAATGGTTCCGCACTGGCCGACTGTCCTTGTTGTAACCAGTCATCAACGTGGTAAACAGGTCACCTTCTGACAGCGCCGCAACTGTACATAAGGCAGATTGTATTGAAAAAATTAGACTATCTATGAACGGTATGTACATGATGCCCTTGCCCTAACTTTGTCCAAGGCTATGTTGCCCTTTTACAACTGGATGTACTTTTAAAGTTGCCCTTTTACAACTGGGTGTACTTTTAAAGTTGCCATTTTTTTCAACTTTTAATGTTGCCCTTTTACACCTGGATGTACTTTTAAAGTTGCCCTTTTACAACTTTTAATGTTGCCCTTTTACAACTGGATGTACTTTTAAAGTTGCCCTTTTACAACTGGATGTACTTTTAAAGGATGTACTTTTAAAGTTGCCCCTTTACAACTTTTAATGTTGCCCTTTTACAACTGGATGTACCTTTAAAGGGTGTACTTTTAAAGTTGCCCCTTTACAACTTTTAATGTTGCCCTTTTACAACTGGATGTACTTTTAATGTTGCCCTTTTACAACTGGATGTAGTTTTAAGTCTATGTACGTTTATGGTCTCTTATAATTCTTACTCAAACACATTTATATACATGGTCAGACAGGAGTCTAAATCCCTCCTGTTATAAAATTGCAACATGATGTAACCCAACACTAGTACCATTTTGATAGACGTCTGGTTGAGGCCATTGACCTCATTTGTTTGGAGAAGAAGAAGAATAAGAAACAGAGCAACAACAATATGTTTTCCTTATGCGAAGGTAAACATAATTACACTATATATGGACGGTATGTATATGATGTCCTTGCCCTAAATTGGTCCAAGGCTATAGCTATGTTGCCCTTTTACAACTGGAGGTACTTAATATTTCATTTACAATAATGATAAGCTTACATACAGAACTATAAATACAACTATAAAAGTACTCAGGGTGGTTTTAGCCTGACTACATCATAGCAGCTCTTCTATTGGTCAGCCCCTGACAGCGAGAGATTTTGTAACACAGGCTAGGGTTGGTGGACCTTTAAGTAGGTCGTTGACCCGTAACCAGAAGATTTAGTTGTCTTGATAGGACTCGCCCGAGGGTAGGGAGGCTAACACTTTGTATAATGAAAGGGCCGAGGCCGCATAACCTTTTAGCTTGAGAAGAAACAGAACCTCCTATAATGACTATTATCTACTGACTTATAAAGATATACATTTTACTTACCGCTTTCATGTACTAGAGCCAGGGTTAGGAGTACAAAAATGATGGCTGACATTGCTCGTTTTGATACTTGAAATGAGGAAAATGTGGAAATAATTGAGGAAAATTTGGGTCAGCATACGGCGGGATTCTAAGCTTGTTGTCCTTTTATATGTGTCACTAGTCCTCTGCTAACTCCTGTACTTTTGCACCAAGATACCTGTGAACATACAAGGTTTTTGTCATTAGGTAAATATATACTGATGAAGTACTTCGTGAGATATACTAAGAACAAAGAATACACATCCTTGTTTTACTCCTGAGGTAAAATGTTTACATAACACGAATAAAATGTGTTACATAAAAATTACATTTAACCTAGATATACATATACCTGTTAGCTGTACGAAATATGGCATACAAGTAGTTGTACTCTTGTAGGTATCCAAAACGTTTTATACAATCAATATCTTCTAGCACTACGCTACGTTTCATATCTTGTTGGGCGTCCTTGTAACGTAAAATATGCCAAAATTATGTGACCTTCTATCAATGCTTAGCCCTAGAATACATTTTAAGTACAATATACAAACTGTAGCATTCTCCGACCGTTTTAACAGTTATGCCTAAAATCTAGTCAATTCTACTGACCATTATAAGAACGACTACGGTATAAGAACGTTGTGAATTCAGCAACAAGTAGGTTTTCACATACGACGTTTCGGTGACCCTACCCTAGCTGTACGTACGAATCAGAATCAGTCAGTTGTTGTCCCAAAAAATGTGACAGACGGTCACCGAAATGCATGAATCAAGTAAATTCTACTGACAAATATAACAGCGAGTACGGTATAAGAAGGTTGTGTTATTCAGCAACTAGTAGGATTTTCACACCCGACGTTTCGGTGACCCTAGCTGTAGTACGAATCAGAATCAGTCAGTTGTTGCCCCGAAAAATATGACAGACGGTCACCGAAACTTCAAAGCTGAAAACCCACTGGTTCTTGAATAAAGAACGTTCTTATAAATCGTCTTGTCAACCATATGAACTTCTTCACGAATGAACAGACACGATTAATAGTGCAACATACCGAAAACACAGGTTTTGACCCTACCCTAGCTGTAGTACGAATCAGAACCTGTCAGTTGTTGCCCCGAAAAATGTGACAGACGGTCACCGAAACTTCAAATATGAAACCCACTGCTTGTTGAGTAAGGAAACGTCTTATACACGTCTTGTCAACCTTATGAACTCATTCACAGAAGAACAGGCAGAATTAATAGAGCAACATACCGAAGACAGGCGTCAGGGGTTGGAGCTGTAATGTTCGCGACACTATGGCGCGTGTCCAAACTGTTGCCATGCAGTGGAAAAACCGGCTACTGTCTCACAATGTAGTAATTTGCCTGCGGTCGCTGCACCTATATCTTTTGGCGTTTTGCATTGGCGTAAATTGTGCCATACCCCGCCCTTTCACACTATCAGGCCCACGATCTTTGTCGCCTAATTTTCTTTTTTTTTATTCCAACATTTTATGAATGGACATGGTGACAGCACACTCAAGTTATATCAACTTAGTTTATACCGTCACCAACGCAGACGACAAATACGAAACAGGACAATACTCATTTGCACTTGAGTCAAGTGTGAAGTGTAAAGTGTAAAGGGCACTGATCGGTGGCATGTCAGGACTCGAACCCGGGACCTCTGGGTTCCGAGTCGAGTACTCTGGTGCTACGCCACACGACCCCTAATTTTCGGTGACGCAATGGCAGAATAGACCAAACCGACAGTATATATACGACATGGCCACGACTATCCTAAGACTGTTTTCTCAATCCGTATATAGACCTATAAGACAGGTGGGTCAACTGCAAAACATAGTTCCGGGAAAAACTACCTACGTTCTGCGAAGATTATAGCAATTATCGTCTATTTACATTTGTGTCATTCCCACAAGACCTTTGCACGACATGACCACGAATGTCCTAAGAATGTTTTCTCAATTCACAGACGTAAATGACAGGGCGTTCGACTGCGAATCATAGTTCCGGGAAAGACTACCTACGTTCTGCGAAGATTATAGCAATTATCGTCTATTTACATTTGTGTCATTCCCACAAGACCTTTTCACGACATGACCACGACTATCCTAAGAATGTTCTCAATCCGTAGATAGACGTATATGACAGGGAGGTCAAGTGCAAAACATAGTTCCGGGAAAGACTACCTACGTTCTGCGAAGATTGTAGCAATTATCGTCTATTTACATTTGTGTCATTCCCACAAGACCTTTGCACGACATGGCCACGAATGTCCTACGAATGTTCTCTCACAGTCGTATATGACAGGGAGGTCAACTGCAAATCATAGTTCCGGGAAAAACTACCTACTTTCTGCGAAGATTATAGCAATTATAGTCCATTTACATTTGTGCCATTCCCTCGCCTGGTATGTTACAGGTAATAACCTATTTGTTCCAGTAAATATTTGTGCCTTATAAATTATGCAGTGTAACAAAATACTTTTTTGAATCAGGCAAAAATTAGGTTGCCTAAATTAATTAAAAATTAATAGGTTTTTAATTAAAAATTATGTTTTTAATTTAAAATAGTTTTTTTAACTACGGCAAAAATTAGGTTGCCCATCAAAATTTTAGGTTGCCCCACCTATAAGTTACTACTTTCTCAAATTAAGAAATGTTACATACATAAGCCTTTGACAATATTTCTAACAGCCTTTAGTTAACTGATACTAGTAATAGCCATTAATACCTAAAATTAAAAAGCATCTGTCGGATACAGTGGTGCAAGCCAAGTGGGCATGATTTGGGGGGTGGGGGGCATTCTTAAAATTTAGGTAGCACACTGGGCTATCTAGGTTCAAAAATAGGTTACCCCAGTTAAAATTTGGTTGCCCGGGGCAACTGGGCAACCAGGTATTTTGCACGATGCTTATGTAGAAATTCCTCGATGGATTGTGATGAATTTGGGTATGTGGGTAGGTCTTGGTAAGACAAAGGTCAATATCAAATTCACTTTATTTCTCCGTTAGGAACGTACTTAGTCTAGTGCCTTAATGTGATGTTTCATAATCATATCTGTCATATCTACACCGACACATATGACTCACTTGTCCATTAACTAGAACAGCCGTTGCTAAGGGCAACGCGGGAGCCCAGAGGGCGTCACACAGTTCTGAGTTTAGGCTGTTCTATTTAATGAACAAGTGAGTTACTTATGTCAGTCTAACATCAACCACTCTGTACCTGTTTAGGGGGAAGTATGATATTCAGCTACATGATAACTTACTTCACTAAAATTCAATATGTTATGCATACAATTTTTTCATCTTCTTAAGAGTATTTTGTTTGATATCGTTTACGCCGTATACAAACGAAATGTATACACACGTGTACGTACGCGTGTATGAGTACTATATATGTTTATTCTAGCATGGTAATATGCATTAATATTTCATTAACAGTTATATTGTGATATCTATAATTGCAGTCAAACCTGTTGCTTTTAAGCTATCTTGTGAGAGGAAGTTTCCAACTTCATTTCATAGTCTTAGATGTAGCTCTATAGTGCTACATTTTTGCCGTTTTGTCTTAATTCTTAACATTCTCCAGAAAAAATGGCTATTGTGTTATTCCCAAGCGACTTAATGTCCCTCCATTACTTACTTCCACTTGGCGAGAGCCTTCCTATAGCCTCTAGCAGGCGTCAGAGGCGGCTGAAAGATTAGAAATTGAGAGTTGGGCTGCTACAGCTTGCCGCTCTTAAGCCACTGCTTTGGTACCCTGGAAGCCAAACTCGTTTTCCGGGCCGCAAGAGCCCTTCGCCCGCTGGTCTAAATTACCGCTACGGGGGGAGTTTGGCTGGCCCTACAAACGTTGCAGGGCCGAATATTCCCCACGGGCTCAACTCCATCGCAGCGGTAATTTAGGTCTGCGGGCGAAGGGCTTCTGGCTGCCGAAGGAAACGGTTAGCGGCCCGTAAACTTTTGCGATCCAACTCCTCTGACATGTTACCTGTCTATTTGGCCACTTTCTACTCTTCCCAGCCGATTCTGAAACCTGGTAAAGGCTATTAGAATGCTCTCGTCAAGCGAAAATAAGAAATGGTAGGGCCTTATGACACTTGGGAATAAAACGATTGAAAAGCCGCCTAGCCTTCAAACGCCTCTCAACATGTACTTAGGTAAATTAATCATTCTTCAACTTAGAACACATCTCATTTTAAAGTAAATATTTTTCTGATATAATATCAAAAACCTATCACTTTCAGCAAAACGTTGTAACATATATACAGTCTGTATACATGTTAATAAATGATAACTGGTGGTATAAAGTTAATGCAGTTACAAAAAAAGTGTTTTAGTTTTTTTTTTCTTCAGATAATGCACCCCTCATTTGTCATTGGTTTCGCCCTACCTTTCCATATCATATCATAACGACATAATATTTGATCAGACTGGTATTTTTGGATGCCTTGTAAAGACGCGCATTGCATATGCGACATCTGTATCTGTCTTTGTTGATTATTGTCAGATATAATTTTTTTTCGTTGTTGATTGAATTTACGGCTCCATATCAGAAAAGAAGTTGAATAGCCCGTAAAACGTTTACCGGACCGGAGGCATATTTCTATCGGGACCCCTCGCGCCTTTTCCCCGCCGACTGTTGAAGGATACGCCGGTCGGGAGGATGACTTTACGGCCAGGTGTTTTCTTCTGGTTCACCTGCTGTATCATTCTTACCTGTGCACTGCGTGTAAAAGGTAGGCATTTTAGCTTCATTTTAAGTCGGAAGGATCATCGTTAAGAATTATTCAAGCAGAATGGAGAAAATTTAGCGCTTAACTTGGTACAGCTTAGCTGCTTTGACTCGTCAGTAGACGTCCACCCATTCTCGGGGTTTTCGTCCCCTCTCATCTTTGACTTTGACTTCATTCGGATCCACATTTATACAAAATCACCTGACATCATATGGGAAAGAGATGAAAATAGAATTAAGTGGCTCTTTAACGAGGGTGTATCTGACCTAGCAACTTTCATTTATCGAGCGTGGGGGAAAAGAAGAAAATACCTGTATTCATAATACATCAACAGTTATCACTTTTTGTTACTTCTGCACGTTTGTTTTCTCTTATTATGTTTGATTTAACTTATGTACCTGTATTTATTTTATGAACTCTTTGTTCATTATGTACAGATTTGTTTATTTGTATTTACGATCTGCTATGAGTTCACTTATTTGTTCACCATTATTGTATATAGCCTACCTTTATTTGCGTTCATATTTTGTTTGGATTCTGTTATCTGTACCTTTGATCGTCTTTTGTTTATGTATAATTTATTGAATCGGTGTCGTATAAGCCCACACGGGCTGGGCGCGGGATAGCGCACGACACGGAAATAAAGCATCATTCATTCATTCATTCATTCATTCATTCATTCATTCATTCATTCATTCATTCATTCATTCATTCATTCATTCATTCATTCATTCATTCATTCATTCATTCATTCATTCATTCATTCATTCATTCATTCATTCATTCATTCATTCATTCATTCATTCATTCATTGTAGCGTACAAACTGTAGCTATTCTTCCTGTGGTCCATTCTGACATGTACCCACATACGACACACAGAGAAAATATCAAACATAATACTAACACACAGCGTCTATATACATTAATACAAGGGTTCTATACATCAATACATCATTACAACTTCATCTCGTTCCAGGCACTAGCCATCCTGTACAAAAATCTCTTTTTCTAGGCATTTGTTCTGGGTTTAGGAAGGCTGACAGTCCGTCGAGACCCTTTCTGGGTGGCGGGGCAGTGACGATGGTCAGTCGTCACTCGTTGTGGTTCCTCTAGTTGTTGTCCCTACTCCTGAACCATACTCAGCGTGAAACTGCTTCTGCCGCTTCTCCCAGGTTCTTGACTTGCCTCTATCAGGCACCGCGGATCGCTGGAAAAATAGTAGAAATTGGCCGAAATAAAGGGATAGTATACCAGAGAAGATCCGGCCAGA